TTTACCTATTTATGTTGAAAATATAAATAAAAAAAAATTAATGTTAAAAAACGGCTTTTCTAAAACCGGTTTTCATGAAAAAAAAAATTTTGAACAAAAAGTATTTATGTTGAAAATATAAATAAAAAAAAATTAATGTTGAAACCGGCTTTTCTAAAACCGGTTTTCATTAAAAAAAAATTTAGAACAAAAAATTTTTATGTTGAAAATATAAATTAAAAAAAAATTAATGGGAAAACGGTTTTACGAAAACCGTTTTTAATTAATTCAGAATAATTAAAATCTTAATCACAAACGGCTTTAGAAAAGCCGGTTTCCATTTTCAAATTTTATTATTATTTTAATCGATGAATACGGTTTTGTGAAAGCCGATTTCTGAAAAACTGCATTTGAAAAACCGTTTTACCCTACGTTGAGAATAAAGATAAAAGTACACCCTAAAATGGGACTAAAATGTTCTACGTTGAGAATAAAGATAAAAGTACACCCTAAAATGGGACTAAAATGTTCAAAACGGCACAAAGAGGGAAATTGGCCATTTTCTCATTCTCTCTCATCTTCTTCTCTCTCTCGTCTTCCTTATTATACGATCTTGTCGTAAAGTAAACCGTGTTACACACAGAAATTCTCTGGATCGTTGTTCAACCATGAATCGCCCAGGAGGAGAGAGAATTTTGTGACGAGGATGATCACGAGGGTTGTGGGGAGAATCAAGATCGGGCTTCAGAGCAAGCTGTTTTTGGAAAATTTGATGGCTTCGAGGGATTGGGGTTTTGCTAGGGACTATGTGGAGGTGATGTGGATGATGCTTTAGTAGGAGAAGCCGAATGATTATGTGGTGGCCAAGGAGGAGTCGCATACTGTTGAGGAGTTTTTGAAAGTGGCGTTTAAGTCTGTTGGGTTGAATTGGAGAGACCATGTTGTGATTGATAAGAGGTATTTTAGGCCCACTGAGGTTGATAATTTGAAGGGCGATGCGAGCAAGGCCAAAAAGGTTCTAGGTTGGAAGCTTAAGGTTGGGTTTGAGATACTAGTGAAGATGATGGTTGATGAGGATATTGAATTGGCTAAGAAAGAGAAAGTGCTTGTTGATGCTGGGTTTATGGATGCTCAACAACAACCTTGATTCAATCATTTTGTCTTTGTTTTCGATCCTCTAATTTATGGTTTGGTTCAATTCTGTTTTTAGTGTTTTGAATTTTCATTTTTATAATTATGTTCCAGAGATAATATTAGTTTGATTACAATATGGTATTGTTGTTAAATTTTAACTTTTGATGTTAATGGGTTGTTTGATTGTCTTCAACCCTCATTCATTTGATACAAAATGGATATGGAGTCTCACCCAGCTCCGGATCTGGCAGGTAAAAAAATTTTGAAATTGATTTAGAATTCAATAATTATTGTATGTATATGAACAAAGACAAGAGAATTTTCAATTTTCTGTGAACAAAGTCAGAGAAATTTGTGAACAAAGCTAGATTAATTTCAATTTTCTCTGGCTGTGATCACCGATTTGTGTATTGCACATTATGATTGGGAAGACAGAGAAATTTTCTGGTTTGAATCTAGAGAAATTCTTTGGAATCCTGAGAAAATCTCTAGACTGGAATCTAGAGAAATTCTCTAGTTGAATCGAATTTCCTTTAAATTGATGTTGAGAGACATTAGACATTATGAAAATATATGTTCTTTATGTTACAAAATCCTAATACCATGGATCCTAAAAAAAAAATTTCTCAATTTTAAACGGACATAATAAATTATTATTTAAGTGCAAATAGAATCACCCAAACTTACTCCAGAAACAAAAAAAAAAATTTCTCAGAGTAGAGATCACTAAAAGACAAATTGGTTACGAAACAAAAAAAAAATTCAAATAAAATATCAAATCAAACTCCATAATTATTTCACTTTTTTTCTCACAAACATCACATTCAACTATAAAAAAAACTCAACCATCTTCTCAAAAATAAATAAATAAATAAATAAAATAATTAATTAATAATATCCTATAATTAAAAAAATCTACAAAAAAAATTAATTTCCCAAACACCCACCTTGTGTACGCTTATGGCTAGTTTGACCATGACATCAACTATGTGAAGCCTCTTTTGGAGACCATAAAAGCACAAAACTGTGAGGGTTTAAAAAACCAAAGCGAACAATATTGCATAATTAGTGGGGACGGATCGTTACAAAAAATTAGGAAATAATGTTCCAACTGATCCTCTAAAAATTAGGAAATTAGGAAATAAGCGTTACATAATTGGTGGGGACGAATGGATCCTCTAAATAATGAGGTTCTGAGAATTTTCTTCTACTTCATTTGATGTGAATTTGGGAATTAATTCTGCCTAATCTCTCAAACAATTGAGGTTAACATAGTCGAAAAGTATCTTTATAAGTTAAATTATTTTTTTTGACAACCGGATATCTGAATTTGCTTTATGCTCGTGTCGGCTATAAGTTGAATTGTTGCGACTGATACACACCCAAATGCTAAGCTAAATAATCATTGCTAGGAGGGGTACACTACAAACTTTTTAAATAATCATTGCTATTAGAGTATCATTTAACATTATTTATGCAGAATTCCTTTCAAATAATGAATCTAAAATACATTAAATGGGTCATTCTTTATTACTCAATTACTTAATAAAGGTCAATTTGTATTATCTTATCTGTGCAATTTTTTTATAGCATTATTAACTAAAAACACTATATAAATAAGGTATTGAGCTTTTCCCAATATGAATTTGAGAAAACTTGAAAGATCCGTGGAGTCCATCAAATGTAAGCTAGTTTCGTTACAAATTACATTGATTTATTTATGAAGTATTAGTGTGTTGGGTCTAAAAAAATAAAAATAAATCATAAATAAATAAACAACTCAAAATAAAGAAAGAACTAAACAAAACCAAACCCCCCCCCCCCAAAAAAAAAAAAAAAAGGAAAAAGAGTAATTACAAAAGTAGATAACCAGTTAAGAATATCACTAACACTCCGTTTGATTGGACAAAATATTTTCTAACAATATATATATCAAAAAATTACAAAAATATGCAATATATACCAAGAAAAAAAATAATAATCAAAAACATTAGGAAAAATATCATTTCAGTGAAATTTGGAAAAAAAAATTGCATATTAGTGATAAACTTCACAACATTTAAAAAATAAATCTATAAACTTTTTCACCAAATTGAGATTATTTTATAAAATTTTCACTGAATTGCTATTTTCTCAAAAATTTACATAATATTTATCATAAAAATAGGTAATACATACCAAAATAATGCGTAACAAATGTGCATATTGTAGACACTCTATAAGGATATCTACCAAAAGAATCCCGATTTTGTTTGGTTGTTTTTTTCCTTCTTTTAATTTGGTTTTTATTTTCGAAATAGAAAATAATGAAAAATAAAAAACACATATTTTTTCATATTTGAATAAAAATAATTTTTTAGAGTCTGTTTGGTAACCATTCTGTTTTCAGTTTTCAGTTTATATTTACAAAAATTTTAAAAACTGTCAAAAACTTATTTGATAATTTTTTTAGTTTATAAACGGTTGTCTCAGTTTATAAATTTGAGAAAAAAACGTAAACTCAAAAAATAAGTTTACGTTTTCAGTTTTCAGTTTTTTCAAATAATTTTTTTTCAATTATTTTTTTTTCAAATAATTTTTTTTCCAAATAATTTTTGTTTTCAATTATTTTTTTCAAATAATTTATTTTCAATTTTTTTTTTCAAATATTTTTTTCAATTATTTTTTTAATTAATTTTTTTCCAATTATAATGTGTGTGATCCCATTGTCATAAATAATAAAAAATAAATATAAATATTTTACGCCTGAACAAACATATTTTTTAGTTTATGTTTTTAAATTTTTAAAACATTTTGTTCAAACCAAATGCATTTGTAATTTATATTTTTCTAAAAATAAACAAAAACTAATTTATAAAATTTTTGTAAGTATAAACTAAAAACGTAAACGTTACCAAACGCTACCTTAGTGTTTCTTGAAAGGAGGTTTTTCATAAAAGTATTCTAAAATATTTTTTTAATCAACTAAAAATGAATATATTTTAATAGAAAACTTAATTATTTTTATTCATTGAAAGCCAAAAAGTTTTATTGTCTCCATCGTTGCAAACGCTGTTCCACCACCACCAACAACAACACCAACACCATCCAACACCACTTCTACGGCAATTAATAGCATGCCAGATTCAAGTCAATACCAAGCACGGAAATACATTTTTGTGAAAGACAATTTGACCAAAAAAATGATTTTTTGTCAAATCAAAGCAAGATTAGTTTACAAATAATGAGAATTGAATGGATAAAAGCGAAGTAATTGTTTGGAAAATTCCTAGTCGCTTCACTTGTGACCGGTGATTTTTCCACTTGTTTTATGACTAAGAATTCTTTCTTTGTTGCACTGGGAGGAAGTTTCAGAAAAAGTTTCATGCTATAGATTGGGCATGATTGAACATGTACATTTCATAAAGAAAATGTGGCAAATTCCTAGTTCCTTCACTTTGGAAGTGACAGGTGTTTTTTTTACTTGCTTCATGACTAAGAATATCTTTCTTTGTCGCGTTGAGAGGAAGTTGCAGACAAAGTTTCATACTATAGATTGGGAATGATTGAACAACATATACATTTCATAAAGAAAATGTGACAAAATCCTAGTTGCTTTACTTTGGAAGTGACTGATGATTTTTTCACTTGCTTCATGACTAAGAATTATTTCTTAGTCGCGTTGGGAGAAAGTTTCAAACAAAGCTTCGTGCTATAGATTGGGATGACTGAACAATAAAATAAAATAAATTAAGTATTCAAAACTCAAGGGTTGAGTTTCTAGAATATATATATATATATATTTGAAATTGATACATTTATTTGTTTTTTTACCGATACATTTTGTAGTGTCCCCAACATTATTTTTATTTAAAAAAAAAAAAAAAAAAAAGAGGTATCTTTTTCAGCAGTTTTTGTAGCAGCAATTTTATCCTAAAAAAAGCAAAAAAGTTCATAAAAAAAGAATTGCAACCCAACCTAAGATTAGTATGTACAACAAGGAAACACCAATTGAAAGAAAACTCTCTTTTTGTGGTACAAGGGAAATTGAACAAAACAACCAAAACAAACAAACAGAAACTGGGGTTTGATGTACATGACCTCAACAAGATCAACATTTAACAGACCACCTAACACATGAATCAGTTTGCAATTGAGTCGATTAAGGAGCAATCTACAAATCTTTAATGATGCCCATGAAGGGATTGGTGTTGCTTCCATGTTCCATAATTAGAATTTAGAGCCACAGCTACCCTAGAGTGAGTTTCCATGTTCACATTTTGAAGGTTCTTGTGCCTTACAATAGTGAGATCCCTCATAATTTCCCAGAGCTCTGCTTCAATGCTGGTGCCAAAAATTTCAATATGTTTCCCAGAAATCTAAACTTCCAAGCAGCTTGTTCATCACCAATTAAGCCACCAATTCCAGTTGCTTGGGATTGCCTTTAGCACTTCCATCCACATTCATCATTAGCTCACCTGCAGGAGGAAAATTTCATTTGATTAGTTTAGAAGAAACATAAGCATCAGGAATATAATTTCCTCATGAAAAAGGCTTCTTGCATATTTTTGGCATAGTGGATGATCCATATACAGCAACAACAAAAAATGGTCCGCTTCCGAGTTATTATAGAAATGGTATCATTCCTCTTTCTTTCTAGTGATGCCAAATAATGGAAGTGAAGAAAGTGGACCAGTCAGCAAGTGCTGCTAGGGCTTTTAATATTGTCTTTCATTCATTGCCCAATCCCTTCGTCTCTGTCCCTCTCTTAGTCTTGAGGATTAACAAAGTGCACCAAAATATTCCTACTCTCAGGGAAATTTCTAAGGATATGAAGGGTGCCTTCAGTGTGGTGGTACTGTGCATTCAGCATTATCAGTAATGTTTTTCTGGCGCATCTCACGTGATTGGTTGGGTTTCTATCCTGGGAAGCTAGCCAGATGAAAACGTTTAAGCTTTTGGGTAATGTTTCCCTTCTAGATCTAGTCGAATTTCCTATATCTTCAGTACCATCATTAAGTTTCCAAATATGCCCAGATAAGATATGTGAAATTTCTCCAGGTTCCAATCTCCATCTTCAGTTAGCTATTTTTCATTCAGGTTACAATGGGGACCAGGGACAATATCTATTAAAGGGCAATCGCCACATCACCAATCGCACCAAAAGGAAATGTAACTCCTATCACCCATTTGTAACCATTATCCAAAATCTATTTGGTTTTTGTTACGCGCTTCTGAAAGTGAGAAGCTTTCTTGCATTTAGGCCAATTACAATTATTAGCTCTCTTAAGATATTTAGCTTTGAGAACGCTAACCCAAGGTTTATTGGTATTTCTAAGGACATTTCAACCACGCTTATTGTGAAAAGCCAATTTTTTTTTTCTTCTTGTTTGTTTTGTTTTGTTTTTTGTTTTTGTTTTTTTGTTTATTTCTGATTCCAATACCACCTTTACTCTTGCATCTACAAACCCTATCCCACTTGTCTAAGTGCACTTTTTTATTTTCCTTAGTATCTCCCAACATAAAACTTCTATTGATTCTATAGGTAAAACATTAGTTTGCATGTAATAATTGGGAATAATGGTTGTGACAACTTAATTGTTGTAGTCTTCCCATCTAGGGACATGAGCTCAATTTTACAACCAGTGAGCTTACTTCGAATTTTCTAAATGATGTAGCTTAAAATTGCTTTGTTCACTCTGTAGTGAGACACAAACCCTAAGGTATTTGACAAGGGGGATGTTACTCTTAGTGCTGAGGCATCTAACTCTACTGTTATGGACATTAGGGGAGACATGCAAACTAAATTTAAGTCCAGCCAGTCAGCAAAAATCATTCAAGGAAATGGAAACATAGCAATTAAAATGAACCACCACATCATAACAAGAACACAGTTTGAGAGTTTCAGACCATGGACCAACGATGACCTTAGATAGCTCCACAGAACATCCTCCAAAGCACCAAGACAAAACACTGAAAATCAGATAAAGCACCTAAACCAAAACCCAAACTTTCTCATTAATCAAGCACGATGACCTGTCCATGCACAAGACAAAGAGATATGGGGATAGGGGGATAGGGGGTTCCCCTGCCTTAAACCTCTACTACGTTCAAAACAGGAAGTGGTTTGGCCAATTCAAAGAGGAGAATATTGCAGTCCTCTCACCCAGTTCATGATAAGAATGAACCCAATATTAAGAAAAATCAAGGTCCAAGAGGTATTTTTTTTAATGAAATTCCTGTTTAGCCTATCATGGGCTTTCTCAAGATCAATACTTGAAAGAAATTCAATGGCACTCGAACTAGCTTCCTAAGAAATGTGTCAATCCCCTTCTCTTTCATTGCTCATGGTAAACTTAAGATGAAAGAGTTCAGTTGGCAGCAACACTCAAAACAATCTCTAAATTTATAGAGTTCAAACATGGTCTGCCCCTTACACCACATAAATAAACACTGATTGCTTCAGGGGAGAAAAAAGACATCTTACCATGTATGTTTGGTTCCATTCGTAGCATAAAAGTCACTAAAGATAATAGTAATGTTACACATAAATAATTCTTTTTATCATATTTTTTACTATTAGACAAAAAGGTACTAGGTGTAAACTGTCATTTTTGTGTCTTGTGATAAATTTTAAAAATAAACAAAAAGTATATAAAATAAGATTACATGACCCAAAAATATGAATATTAAACTGGTCAAGTTAGTGTCAAACCTACACAATACAAAATTGGTACAGATAATCCGTTTAAGGATTAGTAGTACACTTTAATGTTATTTCCACTAAGAGGTGCTGTGACTTTTTAAAATCGCTTTTGTAAAAAGTATATAAAATAAGATTTTAAGACTAATATAGTTGTTTTTTTTAATTTATTTAATTGAAGATAATGTACTTTTTGTCTACTAATTTAAAGCTAATGTAGTAAAAAATAATAATAATAATAGGATTTTTTTTTTTTTTCTAAATGAGGGAAATGGAATTGTGTGGAAATCATATATTTTTATGAATAATTTAATTCATGCAAGTGTCACTCTGTTCCAACATTAAGCATTTTTCAAGCAATAATACTTCACTTCATCAATTAGATCCATTAAATTGTCTTGAACCCTTATGTTACATCATTATCATCCAAGTTTTTCCACCCAATTTGCTATATGAGTTCAATAAGTTTGTGTTTGGATCAACAATTTGAGTAGGGACTTCTGGAGAGAAGAAAAATAAAGGAAAAAGCGAAAAAATAATAAGGTGAAAACAAAAATATACTTCTATTTCATAGACGTTTTGCTTCCCTTTTTTTTTCTTCTTTCTCAAATGACTCCTGAAATTCTTAATCCAAATAGAGCCTACACAATCCATAATAACCAGATCATCAATCTCTGAATAGGTGAACTATCAACTCAAGTAAGTGGTTATAACTCAGTGATAGTTTGTTTGTCTGTTTGTCCATATGAACTCACACAGTAGTTTTGGCAACTCACCTAGTGTTTCTGAAGTTTTTCCTTTGCTTGTGTTGTGAAATGTCTTGCTATGGAAACAATTGCAAAGTCATTGACAACTCTTCATGGTAAAAATCAATTGTGCAGCTACAGTAGGTTAAGAATTTTTTAAGGAACCCGCATCGAAACAGTCCGAGCCTACTTTTCTCTGGCTGGTATTTCCCTATCCAATCCTTCTCTCTGCTCCAGTTGCCATTGCCCATTACCAGCTCAATATTCATCAAGAAGAATTTTCTTTACAGCTATAGAAAGTGTAATAGTTCTTACCATTCTAATCTAAGCTGCCTAACCCAACAGTCCAAGGTGCTGGGAGAGTTAGAAATACAAATATGAAGACAATTACGTCAAACTAGACAATCAACTATTTAAAAAAGTCCAACAATACTACCAGCAAGCCTAACACCAACAACCAACAGCCCCCATAATGGGAAAAAAAACAAACAACTAAAGAAAGGCTCTTTACTAAGGATGAAATAATTACTTTTTGCCTTCGACAAAGATTGACACCCTAACCTCTCAGTTGAGAGTATACAAGAGTGGCCAACTAAGCTAGTCCAGTTGGTTAAACTAGTTTAACTTAACCTCCGACATATTTGCCGAAATTAAATGATTTCCTTCTGCTGCAACTTTACTATGATGTTGAACTGGAACTCTGCTTGAAAGCTATACCACTTGTTTGAGTCCTTACAAATATATCACTTTCCTCAATCTTTCAGTGCTCATGATGAAACTTGTTCCATGAGACTTGAGAAGAAAGAGTCAAACAATAATTAAAAACAATCTCTAAAATTGATAAGAGTTCAGATAACATCTCTTCCATCACATCGAATTCAACAAAGAAAAGCTATGACGATTGAGTGACTTTAGTGCAGTCAAGAATATATACATTCCTAAAGACTATGGCTCTCAAGGAATATATTGAACCTTGCTCTACAGAAATAAAACCAGATTGCTGGGGGTTGGGGGAAAAAAAAAAAAAAACTTACCATGAATAGTTACATTCATACCATACCAGACACTCAAATAAATAAATAAAGAAATAAAAAAAGAAAAAAAGAGACACAGAGAGGAATTACGATAGTTGATGACCTGTCAAGAAATATCTGAGGATAAATGTCATCACATGTTACCTGTCCTGTTCGGAAGAAGAAGAACAATTGTAACAACAACAACAATAACAAGAAATTTAAAAGTAGACATTAGTTCAATAAAATGAAGGGAAATCCTATGGTGTGCACCCCTTTAGCATAACAGTCGGAACAAGCAAAAGTACAAATTTATGCATAAGAAAATGACAGAATGGCAACTGATTCATATCTTTGGAGTGACTGCTCTGTACAACTCTAGCCCTTCATAAAAGATCTCCCTTGATGAAATGAAAAATGTCAGTCATGAATTTAGTCGATGCATGACCTTGTCGAGTTAAAATGTAAATCATTCAGAAAATTTAGTTTGAATGCACTTCATCACAAAAATGAAGGCATGTTGGGTGACATTTATGTTTACAGTTTTCTTTTTATGTTTACAAATGTCAGTCATGAATTTAGTCGATGCATGACCTTGTCAAGTTAAAATGTAAATCATTCAGAAAATTAAGTTTGACTGCACTTAGTCACAAAAATGCAGGCATGTTGGGTGACGTTTATGTTTACAGTTTTCTTTTTATGTTTACAAAAATTTTGAAAACTGTAAACAACCACCTGTTTGCTGTATTTTCATTTTCATTGTCACTCTTTGGTCTAGTGCAAAGGGCTTGGAAAAAGGAAATTTGTTAAATATCATCAATGTTAAGAAAATTGTTGGCGGACAGAACAGAAAAAGGCATTTACAAGATTAAAAATTACTAACATTTATTTATGGGAGAATAACACATCAGTGGAATCAACAAAATTATTTACAAAAAATTAAAAAAATGTATGATTTTAATTATTAATATCTATAATGTTTTTCACTTTTTTGTAAATATTTTCCATTGACACAATGTCAGTGTAATTCTCCCTCTATTTATTGGTCCACAATCTATCCATTCCGATGCCTTTGGCTTAATAGAATTAGAAAATTTTGGCTAATTCATTTGCTAAGGCTTTTTCCTAAAACACCAGAATGTGTTTGGGTCATAAATTTAGATGAAAATTTGAAAAGGGAAATTGTGGGTAAAATGTAGTTATGTTTCATTCACATTTCACCCATCTTTTTCCTTTCCTTGTCCAAATCCATGATCCAAACACACCCCTAGAGTTTCGTGTAAACTATGAATATCAAATGTTGTTAGGTCCCTTGCTTTGTCAATTCTGCGAACAAGTGTTATTTGAGTAGCATTGTTGTGTGTTTGTGGACATGTCAATTTGCATGGACCGCTCAAGCGGTGGTTTGTGCGGTTAAGAGCTAAAACGAGGCATCCAGTATCACAACCCTTGTTCTTCGATACTGGAAGGCTTCTTTTATCGTTCGAGTGTGCACTCTTGCACTCAAGCGAAGTGACAGTTGTTCAGTTCATTACAACGAGCTCTTAGACACACCGCTCAGGTGATATTTCCTGTGCTCGAGTGGTCTTCATGACTCTGTTTGTTTTAAGCTACCTCAGTGCATAATTTAGGGTTCATTTCTTCCATATCAGCGACTGGAGACCTAAGAACTATTGGGTATTCATTTAAAGAGCTTTTGTGATATTTTCGTTGATGATTTTGTGAGCTAGTTGCCTTGCATGGATTGAATAGCATATATCAAGGGGCTTGTTATGAATCTACCATCATAGAGAGTTTATCGGTGGATTCAAAGGCTTTGAAGGTGTTTGAAGTGGCTCATTGCCGTGGACTCGACATGGGTGTTGTGGATTCAACACCGGAGTAATCAATCCCAGGATGAAGATGTTGATGAAAGGGGGACACAATGAGTGGAAGTCAATTCTTGAGTGAGTGTTGAGTAATTACTTGTACTCTTGTGTAATTTCATTATCTTCATAGTGGATTGTTTTGTGGCTTTAAGCTGTGATTTTGTGGCTTTGTGTCCTATTCGTTGATTGCTTAGAGATAATCTAAATCACTATAGGCTAGATGATTTAGATTATTGTCTAATTTGGGGATTGGTTTTGATTGATGTTTATTAGCTCATAAATCACAAATCACAAATCACATAACTTAGGGTTTTTCAGTCCTATTACCTACTTAATGATCATTCTTCTAGATTAGGTACTTATAAAGAAAGAAAAAAAAAAAAAAAAAAAAAGAGATTAATAATAACACGGGAAAAAAAAGAAGGAAAAAAAAAAGATATCGACAAACAAAAATTTAATTTATGTAAATAAAAAATCATGATTTGATCAAGTTAATGCACTTACTTCAACTAAAGCACATTATTGTTGGACTCAATCATCTGCAGCCAATTGTTTCCAATACTTTCTTGTTCTTCCTTAATTTCCTTGGCAAAATTGGCAAGAGAAGGGTGGCACCAATGCACCTCAATCATCTGTAGTGTGGGTATATCCCCCATTTCAGATGGGATCTTCTTAAGCCCATTACATTGAATTAACACTAACCGCTGAAGCACAGGAAAGTGATTACTGGAAACTTCCAACTGATCAACTTGTACATGCTTTAATTTTAAGAATTTGAGTCGAGGAAACTCCCCATCACTTGTTTGCCAACATTTACCAATACAAGCTCTATATGATAATTTGAGACCCTCAAGGTTGGGTAGTGACTTGCCAAGTGTTGACATCTCATCCCAATTTAGATAGGTATTCTTCAAAGTTAGCTTTGTTAGATTAAGGGGTAGCTTAATTCTTCCCAAAACATGTGCGTTCTGGTTAAATACGCCTTCATTCCACAACTTCAACTCTTGGAGGTGGTCTAGGAAGTGTAGATCAGGAAACATCAAGGATTTCTTATCTACCATATCTCCATAAAGTCCCAGCTTTTTCAGATTAGGAGCCCTGACCGAGAATTCTTTTCGATAAAACGCCCATGAGAGAGTTTGTAGATTATCATACAAGGGACGGTTATCCAAGGAGGTAAGGTAAGGAAAACAAAAACGATATTTCCCATTACCACTAACACAAAGGTGCCTCATGTTTTCCATGGTCCAAACATAACATGGTAAATCAACAGAATTACGTGATGTACGAAGAATAAGGGTTTCTAAATAACAGAGATTGGATATGGAAGGTGGGAGGATTAATCGCTCAGTGCGTTCCTCATTACAATAGCAATCTTGGTTTTCTTTAATGATGTCAAGTGTTAAGTACCTCAAGAGAACTAACTGTTCTACCTCAATTGGGTATTTTAAAATCTGGATGAAACTTGTATCTAACACCTTAAGTAGCTTGAAGCTTGGAGAAAGGAAACGAGGATACCATGATCCAGCACATCCAGAGTTAAAGAACAGTAAAGAACGGATGTTTTGGCCAGAAGTGGTTGAAACCGAAATCCGCTGATAACCCAAAAACCGTTGGAGAAAAAAGTCTTCCTCACCTTGCTTGATGCAAAATTCACGCAACAAATCATGGATGCCACATGCTTTGATTTCACCATCGTACCCTCTTTTGGATACTAATAAGAGACTTCTACCAATTAAATCCATCAAGTATTCTTTTGCCACATCCTCCAATCTTTTTTCACCTGTCTTTGTTATAAATCCCTCAGCAACCCATAACCAAATCAACTTCTCCACTCGAATTTGGTAGTCCTCTGGAAATGCTCCAAAATAGAGAAGACACGGTTTCAAATGACCAGGTAAGTGATTGTAACTCAGTTCTAGTGTTTTCATCCATAGTTGTGGATCGGCAGCTAAAGTTGAATTTAAGGTTTCTCCTACTTGCTTCCATCGGCCTTGGCTCTTCTCTTCATTTGTAAGAATTCCAGCTACCAGAACAATTGCCAAAGGTAGTCCCTGACACTTGTTGGCTATTTGCTTTCCTATCTCCATGAGCTCCGGGGGGCAATTTTCTCTTTTTCCAAACACCTTGTGTTGAAACAGATCCCAACTTTCATTATGGGTTAAAAATCATAGCCAAAGAGGTGGGTTATAGGGTTTGGCCTGCAAAGCCACGTCTTCATGTCGGCTAGTGAACATAATAGAGGAGGGCTATTGGCTTTGGCCTGCAAAGCCACGTCTTCATGTCGACTAGTGAACATAATTCTACTTCCGTTGTTGTCATTTGGAAAACAATTTTTCAAATCAACCAGGCCTTAGTATCCCATATATCATCCATCACAATGAAATATGTCTGACCCTTTAAGCTTTTGTACAACTTTTCACATAATTTCTCATCGCCCATCTGATCAATTCCATTCGTATGCTTCATAACACAACTTAAAAGGCGAATTAACAAATCCCTCTTTCGATACTCTTGGGAGACAGATGTCCAAGCACGAATATAGAAGTGGTACACGACAAGAGGATCATTATAGAGTTTTGTAGCCAAAGTAGTCTTACCTTGTCCAGCCATCCCAACAATGGAAATAACCTGTAGCTGCTTTGATCCTCCAGTAAGTTGCTCCTTTAAGCTCATTGCCTCGTCCTCAAATCCCACCATTATTTCTTCCTCCCCTACACCCCAAGTGTTTGTGTTTGATTTTGATGAGTCTGAGTCTCCACTGCTGGAACAACTTCCAACTTGTAGTATGGCTTCCAAACCCGAGTCAGAAATTTCCATCATCTCAGTTTTGATGGCCTCAATCTCTTCTTTGACATGCTCAAGATTTAATGAGTGATCATCCTCCTTTATTTCATCTTTTAATGAGTGATCCTTTTTTATCTTCTTTGGATACAGAATCTTGTTCAAGAAAGTGATGAATGAATCATCCTTCATTATCTCTTCCTCCGAATCATCCTTCATTATCTCTTCCAGCTCAATATTCTTCCTCGAGAAAAAATTAACTAGGAACCAGTCGATCGTATTTTCTGCCTCGTACGCCAAATCTCTAATTCGTGCCTCCAGATTTTTCACTTGTTCGTGCTCAAAAAACTTCACCTGCAAATCATTCAGATTTGTTCTCAGCAATTGTAGATCCTCATAAAGGATTTGAATTTGATCCTTCTCTTCCAAAATCATATCGATCTTGGAGCTCAGTAACTCCTTCAATTTCTTCGCTAGTAAATTGACTGCAATTTCAGCCATATCTCTCTCTCTCTCTCTCTCTCTCTCTGGATGGATGATGGAAAAGGGAACTTAGGTCTACCCCCTCCCACAACACACACAGTCACACACACACACACACACAATTGTTAAGAGAATTAAAAAAAAAAATACACCCAACTGTTAAAAGAATTAAAAAAAATTATACGTTTAAAACTCTCCCATAATTATAAAATTTTATATAAAAAATCCTCCAACAGGCACACACAATTGTTAAGAGAATTAAAAAAAATCCCCCCAATTGTTAAAAGAATTAAAAAAAATTATACTTTTAAAATTCCTTCATAATTATAAAATTTTATATAAAAGACAAAATTTATTAATTAAATATTTTATTAGATTATTATACTCTCAACTAAATCTTTCCATCTTCTCCGTTCACTTTCTTCCCACCTTCTCTGTCTCATAGACCAAGATCGAAAACCTTGTCTGAGAAGATCGGCCACTGCTAATCACTCAGTGACTTCAGGGCCTCAGCTTTGCTCTGCCCAAGATCAGAGTCTGATCTCCTTCGTCGGTCGATTTTTAGGGTTTGAAATCGAAGTTCGCTGCTCGATTACTACCATTGTCATCTGATCAAAGATCCTCGCCTGAGATCCATGAGTTGGTCGATTTGTTGAGCCACCGCGATGACCTGGCAGCAGAATATCAATTGGCTTTTTTTTTAATTTTTTTATTTATTTGTGAATAGATCTAAAACTAAAATTTGATTCTGGTTCGTTCATTTAGTACGTATTTTGTTTTTTGTAACAGTAAAATTTTACTCTAGTTAAAAACATGTTGATTTGCTTAACGATATAAAATTTTACTTTGAATCATAATAAATTTTATTCTGATTCAGAGTAAAATTTTACTCTAAAATACACTGTGAGGATGGCTTAATAGGAAAGCTGATACATGCATACATACATACATACATATATATATATATAGGTAGTATAGTAAAAGAAACAAGTTTTAAAATATTAGGGAGTTTTGAAAGTATCTATATAATTCTTGTCCCTTTAAAAGACAAATTAGACAGTGAGAGGTCTATCACCAAATCTCCCTCCCCCCCCCCCCCCACTAATCTCGAAAATGTCTTCCTAAGCTCGAAAATGTCTTACTTGTTGATGGCCTTAAAGCTAATCTTTTGAGCATTAGTCAAATGTGTGAATCCCATCATGAAGTATTATTTTCAAAAAATAAATTTGAAATTTTAGATAAAAAAGGAAATATTGTCATGCATAGGGTTCGCATATCTGATAATTGCTATGGGATTGTTACCACTGATGATCTCATATGCCACTCAACCGTCATAAGTAATCTTGACCTGTGGCATCAAAAATTGGGTCACATGAATTTCAAGGACCTAACCAAGATAGCCAACAAAGAGCTTGTGAAATGAGTACCCAAAATGGGTAAGAATGTGAACTATGTGTGTGGACCATGTCAACTTGGGAAGCAAACTCGTGCCCCTCATAAAATGATGAACATCTTCGCAATCAAACGTCCTCTTGAACCAGTTCTTATGGATCTAATGGAACCCACTCGCATTGAAAGCATTGGAGATAAAAGATACATTTTTTTAATTATTGATGATTACACTCATTTTTCATGGGTTAATTTTTTAAGAGAAAAATCTGATACGTTTAATGTTTTCTAGGCTTTAGTCCTTAAAATCCAAAATGAACAGAGTGTTTCTATCGGGCATATCATAAGAATCCGAACTGATCATGGTTGTGAATTTGAAAATAGTTTGTTTTCAGATTTTTGTGATATGCATGGTATTAAGCGTGAGTTTTCTGCACCGATTCCTCCACAGCAAAATGGAGTTGTTGAGAGGAAGAATAGGGTTGTTTAAGAGATGGCTATGGTCATGCTCCTTAGCAAGAAAGTTCCTCTTAAGTTCTGAGCTAAAGCCTCAAATACCTCTGTTTATGTTGTGAATCGTGTGTATTTAAGGCCCGACACTTTACAAACTCTATATGAATTGTGGAAAGGGTTCAAACCTAATGTAAAATATTTCAAAAATTTTGGGGGTAAATGTTACATTTTAAAGATAAAGAGCTTTTGGGCAAATTTGATTCTCGAAGTAATGAAGATATTTTTCTAGGGTATTCAATCACTAGTAGAGTTTTTCATGTCTATAACATGCGTACTTTATCTCTAATGGAATCAATCAATGTGGTTATAGATGACACAAGTTCTCCTATGCCAGCGATACATGAGGAAGAATATGGTCAGTTTCCAATCTTGGATACTGAACCACAAAGACAAGGAGAAACACAGGGTTAAGCCCAAGAAGGTGAGTTGGCACCAACTTCAATGGTAAGTCCGAGTCCAAAGAGTGCACAAAGAGACACCACCTCTGATGCTCTTGTCACTACCAGTCTAGAGTTAAAACCATCAGCAAGGGTAAAACTGAATCATCCAGCTCAACAGGTGATTGGAAATGTCTTAGACCAAATGAAAACCCGAAAACAAATTCGGGAAGAGGTATCTTATATGCGCTATGTGTCGTTAATTGAACCTAAAAATATAAAAGAGGCCTTACTGGATGATAGTTGTGTTAATGATGTGCATGAAGAGTTGGGTCAATTTGAACGTAACAAAGTTTGAACTCTTGTCTCCAGACCTAAAGACATGAATATGATAGGTACCAAGTGGATATTTAAAAATAAATCTGATGAGAATGGTACTATGGTTAGAAATAAAGCTAGGTTGGTTGCTTAAGGCTATACTCAAGTAGAGGGTGTTGACTATGATGAGGCATTTTCCCCTGTTACACATCTCGAATCTATTCGGATTTTACTTGGTGTTGCATGCTTTTTAGGGTTCAAATTGTTTTAAATAGATATGAAAAGTGCCTTCCTGAATGGATACTTGAAAGAAGAGGCTTATGTTGAGCAACCAAAAGGGTTTGAGGACCCAAAATGTCCACACCATGTCTACAAGTTAAACGAGGCGTTGTATAGGTTGAAACCAGCCCCTCGAGCTTGGTATGATAGACTTACTACCTTTCTTCTTGATAATGACTTTCAAAGGGATAGTGTGGACAAAACCTTATTTGTGAAACATACTAAGTCTCATACACTTGTTGCTCAGATTTATGTTGATGATATTGCGTTTGGATCCACTTTTGATTCTCTTGTGAAATATTTCTCAGATTGCATGACACATGAGTTTGAAATGAGCATGATGGAGGAGTTGTCTTACTTCTTGGGTCTTAAAATTAAATAGTCTCCTTCAGGTATGTTTGTCTCTCAGACCAAGTACGCCAAAAACCTTGTGCCTAAGTTCAGTTTAGAGTCGTCAAAACATGCTCTCACTCCCATGAGCATTAGTCTTCACCTATCCAAAGACTCCTCTGGTATTAATGTTGATCCTACCCTTTATAGGAGTATAATAGAGAGTCTTTTGTACCTCACAGCTAGTTGACCTGACATTGCCTTTAGTGTAGGTGTTTGTGCCCATTACCAAGCCTTCCCTAAAGAGTCTCATATTCTTGTATTCAAAAGCATCATTAATGCCAAGCCCCATATTTTATTACTCAGATAATATTACCAATATTCATCAATTAAGTCCATTTACAAATAACATTTTATCCTTGGATGAAATAATGAATAATTAAATACACATATTCGGCAAATCAAACGAGTTTACCTTAGTAGGGAACCGCCGAGTAGGACCAAAGAAATTTGGTCTGAGACGGGTTACCCAAGGCTCAACGAATCTGATGCCCTACATCATATTGGAATCTGACGTTAAAAGACCAATTTTATTTTTATTTTGTTTTTGTCTATTTTTTCTATTTATTTCATTTTCTATTTTCTTTGTTCATAAAAAAAAATTCTTTTCTTTTTTCACCAATTTGATTTTTATTTTTATTTTTTATTGAATTTTTCAATTTTTATTTTTATGTAAGATCTTCCACTCTAGAAACACATAATTTAAATATTAAAAAAAAAAAAACAAATTTTGTATAATTGTATTTATTTTCTCACCCTTTTGCAGGTTCCATTTCTTTGAAGTTGGGGGGTAACCTTCTCCTACTTCTTGGTGTGATGTATTTTATTTATTATGTTTTCTTTCCCTTTCACTATTCTTGTCGGTCCTTTGTGGTATGTGCCATTGAGGACAATGTCATTTAAGTTGGGGGAAAGGCTTTGGTTTATGATTTTTTATTTATTTGGTTGTGTTTTTATTTTTTATTTATTTATTTTTTTAACCAAAAAAAATTATTAAAAAAATATATTTTTGTATTTATTTTGGGTCTTTGTGACAAGTAGACATTAAAGAACTTCATAGAGAGTCGGTCAGAAAATAATCATGATTCACATTGATGGTTGATTGCTAGTTTTTGGAATGTGTATTTTTTGTTCATTTCCTTATGGCGTTCGGACACTAATTTTAGTGAAGGCTAGTGAGGTGAGGACCCTGGAAATCCAAGAGTCAAAAGCTATGCCTCTTCTTGGAAAAAGGTCTCAGTCTAAGAAGAGGAGAGCAAAGAGAATATCTTACTGTTTGGAAGGTAAAATTCCACGTGATAAAACTAATTCAATTTTAAAAGAAATCGATGAATGGATTAAAACGGGGCAAAGTAAAACCATGAATTTGGCTTTGAGACGTCTGTTTTTTATCTAATGTTAAGCTACAAGGTTAGGGAGATCGTAGGAAATTGGATTAGGGGTAAAGGAATGTGCCATTGCTGTCAAATCACTTGCAACATTCCTATTTACCGTAGACAGTGTTAAGGGTTGCTTGTAAGAAAAAAAAAATGTTATGTATAATTTTTTTTTTGAATTGTATATTTGTGTTTTGTTTTTAATCTTTTTGCAGGTAAAATGATATAAGCACCTATATGGTGAAAACTCTAAACAAACCTTACTCCGGGAATAGTTGAGTAAAGAAAAAGTAATTTTGTTTGAGACGTGTTACGATAAGGATGCAATCAACAATTTTCATTGAGGTACTTTATCACAATAAGCCTTGGTATCTGGCTCTAAAAGACCATTTCTTTTGCCATTATGTTTTATGTTTTATGTTTTATTTTTTTTTATTTTTATTAAAAAAAAACTTT